AAAGCAGAACGTGGTGTGCTTCTTCAGAACAGCCTTCTGCATTTTGTAGAGGCAACTGTGTGGACGAGTTTCATTTTTCCGAGCGATTTCAAGGGTGCAAAGAAGTGAAGAGTTGGTCTAAGGTTCGGTTCCTCGTTCTAACATTTTTTTGCATCTTTCATTGACAAGAGGAGAGGATTGAAAGGTCTGCCAACCTCGGAAGAAAAGCTATAAACACCTACAGAACTTCAGCTCAAATTTTGGTGCAATATTTATGGGACATCCTGTATTCAGTTTCTTATCAAAAACGTTAGATAAAATGTTGTGCGATCATGAACTTCACCGAAATATCTAAGAAATTTTTAATTGTTACAAGCTAGTAGCTAATATCTAACATTTTTTTGCATCTTTTTCAGGTAGCCCACTGCTTAGTTCAAAAGTCGTCGGCGCAAAATTGCGCAAATCGGAATTTTTCAAAAAAATTGATTAAAAAGGGCCAGAGCGGTGGACTATTCATGCATTTTGCTGAACAACATAATAAGTGAGTTCATCGCTCAATTCCAGCGGTATTTGTATTTACACGGAAACTGTGCTTTTTCTTCGACACTGCTGCACTATTACAAGCCGAAACGCCCGAAACAGCCCCATACGAAGACAAAAACAACGCCAAATTTAACCCAAATTAATTTTTAATCGCTGATCACGAATATAGTGTGTCCCAGAACTATAGGAACACCCTATTTTTCTTCAATATCTCTAAATGGGCCAATGATTTCTCTCCAAATTTTTATCAACAATGCACTATTACACCAGGGTACAAATATATAAGTGAAATTGGAAAGAAAAAACTTGAAGATTTTTTTATGATTTTTTTCTAAAATCATGGCGTCCCAAAAGTATAGGGACACTCGGTTCTTCTGCAGTGTTTCTGACATTAGGTGAGTTGTGAAACCAATTTGTCACTGCTCTACTTAGACACTTGTTCTACAGTGCCATGCCGCGAGGAATGCACGTAACCGGCTTTGAGAAAGGCCAAATTTGGGCCTGCAAGGATATCGGACTCAGCTACCGCCGCTTTGAAGAAAATT